TTTTGTATGAAAGTGTTGAAAAGTGAAGTGTTAGTCGCTCAGTCCTGTCGGACTCTTTGTGACCCTATGGACTCTAGCCCTCCAAACTCCTCTGTCCATGGGTTTCTCCAGGCAAAATTACTGGAGTGGGTTGTCACAGCCTTCTCCAGGGGACCTTATCAATCCAGTGATTGAACCTGAGTCTCCTGCATCTCCTGCATTGCAGGTGGCTTCTTTATCATCTGAGCCACACTTTAGTTAAATGTACAGTGAAAATGTATAGGCTTTAGATTTGGATAGAACTGAATTAAAGTTTTGCTCAAAATTGCTTGCTTAACTGTGTGACTCTGGGTAATAAATAAGGTGGAAAGTAACATTTTTTGATTTACTGATACATGTGTCAGGCTCTCTATAAAAGATTTTACAGGTTTTACTGTATTTCACACAGAACTCTCTTAAAGAGGCTCTATTATTATGTTCACATATAAAGGAAGAAACTGAGGCCCAGAGAGATTAGGTATTAATAATTTGCCCAAGAAAAAAATCCACTAAATGTTACAGTTTTGTTTTGAACTCTAGCAATTCAATCTATCAGACTTTGTTATCTGACTACTAGGACACACAACCTGGAGTCTGAGACATTCATGATAATACCCTCCATTAACTGGGCATTCAATAAATTTTAATCCCTTATCCATAAAGAACATTCACAAGGTAAAGTTAAATTTCATGATCTTACTATTACTACCTTCCTACTTCCTCTAGCCCTATTAGATCCTCATATCATTCAGTCCAATGACTCAGAAACAAACCTTGATGGCTTTAGCTGCGTTATCATCAACACCAGCACTTGCTTGAAGCTGCTGAAATCCTTTGGGTAATTCATAACACATTATCAAAACTGGTCTCCTTGGTTTAGATATCACATCTTTAAGAAAAACTTTCCCCAACTTCTAATACCAAGCACTTCACACGTGCTACCACAGCACCATTTCCATACCAGTTCCCCTGTTACACCTGCCTGTCCAGGTCTTCTGCTGGGAGGTAAGCCCTATGAGCACAGTAACTATGTTCTCTCACCACCGTCTCTCTAAAGTAAGACCCAGTACACTGTTTGAAGTGAAAGTGTCAGTCACTCGGTCATGTCTGACTCTTGCAACCCCATGGACTATAATCCACCAGACCTCCTGTCCATGGAATTCTCCAGACAAAAATACTGGAGCAGGTATCCATTACCTTCTCCAGTAATCTTCTCAACCTAGGGATAGGACCCAAGTCTCCTGCATTGCAGGCGGATTCTATACTATCTGAGCCACCAGGGAAACCCCAATACATTGTATGTGCTGTGCTGAGCTTACTCATTTCACTCTTTGTGACCCCATGGACTGTAACCCTCCAGGCTCCTCTGTCCATGGGATTCTCCAGGCAAGAATACTGCAGTGGGTTGCCACGCCCTCCTCCAGGAGATCTTCCTGACCCAGGGATCAAACCTGTGGCTCCTGTAGCTCCTGCATTACAGGCAGATTCTTTACCACTGAGCCACACTGTATAATAGAAGCTAAATAAAGTCACTGAGTACATTAAAGCCTTTAACTGTGTGGATCACAACAAACTCTGGAAAACTCTAAAAGAGATGGGAATATCAGACCTCCTTACCCAACTCCTGAGAAACACGTACACAGGGCTAGAAGCAATAGTTAAGAGTCGGACATGGAACAATGAACTGGTTCAAAATTGAGAAAGGAGTACGTCAAGGCTGTCTATTATTGCCCCACTTATTTAACTTATATGCAGAGTACATCATGAAAAATGCTGGGCTAGAAGGCTCACAAACCGGAATTAAGATTGCCTAGAGAAATATTAGCAACCTCAGATATGCACACTAACAGCAAAAAATGAAGAGCAATTAAAGAACTCTTGAAGAAAGTGAAAGAGGAGAGTGGAAAAACTGGCTTAAAACTCAAAATTCAAAAAACTAAGATCATGGCATCTGGGGCCCATCACCTCATGGAAAATTGATGGAGAAAAAGTAGAAGCAGTGACAGATTTTATTTTTGGGCTCCAAAATCACTGCAGACAGTGACTGCAGCCTGAAATTAAAACACGCTTGCTCCTTGTACACCTATGACTGATCCATGTTGATTTTTGGCAGAAAACAACACAATTGTATAGCAATTATCCTTCTTTTAAAAAATAAATAAATTTCTTTAAAAACTACAACAAACCTAGAAAGCATATTAAAAAGCAGAGACATTACTTAGCTGACAAAGGCCCATAGAGTCAAATTTTTTCCAGTAGTCATTCACAAATAGAGAGTTGGACCACAAAGAAGGCTGAGTGCCAAAGAATTGATGCTTTCAAATTGTGGTGCTATAGAAAACTCTTAAGAGTCCCTTGGACAGAAAGGAGATTAAACCAGTGAATACCTAGAGGAAATCAACCTTGACTACTCATTGGAAGGTCTGATGCTAAAGGTGAAGCTCCAATACTTTGGCCACCTGATACAAAGAGCTGACTCATTGAAAAAGACCCTGATGCTGGCAAAGATTGAGAGCAGGAGGAGAAGGGGGTGACAGAGGATGAGATGGTTGGATGGCATCATAGACTCAATGGACATGAGTTTGAGCAAACTTCAGGATATAGTGAAGGACAGGGAAGCCTGGTGTGCTGCAGTTCATGAGGTTGCAAAGAGTCGGACATGACTGAGTAACTGAACAACAAGACATTTGCTAAACAAATGAGTAAGTAAAGAAATAAAACAGTTGTTAATAACTGAAATTAAAATACCCTTTTAATAGAATTAAATAATCTAGAATTTTCTTTACCAAAATCCAGGAGGGAAAATTTTAACCTTAGCAGTTTATTATTGATCATAAACCAAACTACCAAAGACCAATTTTGAACTCAAAAGGAAATTACTGAAAATCATAATACAAATCAAAGCAATATAAAAGGGTAAAGAGAGAATGTTTTTATAATTTAATCTCAATTTTCAAGGAAAGAAAGCTGAATGTCATCAGAATGCTAACCAAATTGTTGTATCAATATTATGTATTATCTTAACCCTAGTACACTATTTAGAAAAAGGAAATGATGGCATATTCTTTCCCTAATCTTCCTAATGTGAATGGTGACCAGATGCCAATATTACTGAAATAAAGGCCATAAACCTAATAATCTAGACTGATGAACAAAAACAGATCAAGTGCACTCTTTTTATGTGTATATTTTATTAGAGTATATTAAGAAATCCAGAAACTCTTGAAGGCAAGATTAAAGTCCTAAAAATAACCCTGTGCAGACAAAAATAAGTTAAATAATTGATTAATTAATAAATTAAAAATAAAGTCCTAAACACCCCTATAAAATTAATATTTGGCACCAATATAGTTTCTATATTTAAAAGTTATTCTTTTGATTAATTAATTACAAAACACCTATAACCATTGTTGGGATGGTTAAGACAAGAACCCTAAAGAATAAAACTTTGATGTACTTCATGTCACAGAAACAATAAATTTTTATCTAATCATTTCAAGTCATAGTACAAATGATAAAAATTTTATAAGGAATAAAATTACTTTCTTTTTCCTAAGAAAAGATGTAACTAAAATGTAATATTTCCATGGAAGAATACACACAAGCAACTGATTTTGTCAACAGGCTTGACTTTCTTTTAATCAGTATTAACCCTTGCCAAAAGGAATCTTATTAAAGCTTTCTCAGTCTATCCTCAAAAGAAAATAAGTAGGAGGGACATTCAGGGACGAAAGGTTTATTTATTCAAAAGGTTCTCACTAGTTTTACTTTGGAGATGACTACCAGAGAAGAATCGGTGAGGTTAAGAGAAGATTAAAAACTGACCAGAAACCAGAGGAGAAACTCCTTCTAAGGTATCTGTGCAGATAAGATTGGGACATAGATTTTCCTTTTCTGGCTCCAAGTTTTCCATAGTTTGGACATAAATGTAATAGATAAACTAATCATTGAAATTATCTCCTGACTTAGATTGAGATTTTCTTAGATTGATATTGAGAATTTCTAAGACGATTAAACTAATTGCTGTTAGTGACTGATTATACCCACTGAAAGTGGGTGAATTCCACTCACTTCCATTGTCTATAGTTTAATCAAAGCTTAGTTCTATGAATTACTCAAGTTCTATGGCTGAATAGCAGCTTTTGATAAAATGCAACTTAAGCAAAAAAAAAAAAAAATCACAAGGCAAACTTGTCTTTGTTGAGTAATAAAATACTATATTAAGAATGCCTCAGTCCACCTAGGACACTTCCTGGTGATAAAGGGATGCAGACTTCACCACTAGCCTTGACCCTTCAGGCTTTTATGGAAGCATTGGCTTTAACATCCTAAAAGTGTGAAATTTTTTAACCTAAAAACTTTTTTAAAAATAGTTTATGCTTTAATAATGAGTTTCTTCTTATAGTAAAAGTATTAAGCTGTTAACCCCAGTGATTCTAAATTATGCTCATGTGTCTGTATGTGTGAGTCACTCAGTCGTGTCCGACTCTTTGAGACCCCACGGACTGTAGCTGGCCAGGCTCCTCTGTCCATGGAATTCTCCAGGCAAGAATATTGGAGTGGATTGCCATTCCCTTCTCCAGGGGATCTTCCTGACCCAGGAATTGAACCCAGGTCTTCTGCTTTGCAGGCAGACTATCTGAGCCACCAAGGAAGCCCTGGTATATAATATAAAGCCCTGGTGTATAATAGAATAGAATAGAATAGAATATTATACATATTGTGCATAATTTATGTGTGTATTTATTTATATATATGTGTGTGTTAGTCACGCTTACATAATTATGCTAATATTATTACATATAAATAATGCAGAAAGGTCCTGAGTAGCTAGTAAGTTATTTAGTGAAGTATTGCTCTCTGAGAGGTCTTAATATCATAATTTACCAAAATAAATATGGATTTGAATAATCTGTTATCATTACACAATTAGGTATTGATTGTCTTTATTATTATTTCTTGCTAGGGTCCATAAAGAAAACATGAATGCTCTTATCTTATCTATGATTATCTTGAACCTTACTACATTCTTCTTGGTAAGTTTTCAATACTGGTCAACAGGTAATTTTCTTTTCATTTAGAAAAAGATAAAGATGTTCATAGCAATTATATGCCACAAAAACATCTCAGAGTGAGACATCAATGTGCTTGCAACCAGGATAATTCATACTGTGTTGCCTTTAAAAAATGTACCATGAACTTTATTATATTTCTTTCTATATATTCATACAATGATGATGTATATATATTACACATACACATATATATCAATCAGAAATTTATGTTCACACACAAGTGTGTACCCAGATGTTTTTACGGATTTTTATGTACCCAGACATACTATTCCATAATTGCCAAAATCTGGAAGCAACCAAATTGTCCTTTTGTGGTGACTGAATAAATAAACTGGTATATTCATGTAGTGGAATATTTTTCTGCACATAAAAAAAAAAGAAAGAGAGTTACTAAATCATGAAAAAAAAACAATGGAATCTTAAATTCATACTACTAAATAAAAGGAACTAATCTGAAAAGGCTATATATTGTTTGATTCCAATTATATCACATTCTAGAAAAAAAACAAAACTATAAAGCCAGAAAAAATATCAATGGTTGCCAGGGATTAGGAGAGATGAATAAGGAGAAAACAGGATTTTTAGGGTAGTGAAGCCTAGAATTCTATAAGATGGTGAATGCATGGTAAATAAATGTAATTATATGTTTGTCTAAATCCATGGAATGTATAAAAGTGAAGTCTAATGTAAACGATAGACTTTGAGTAATATATGTCAATGTAGTTCCATTCCTGACAATAGTGGAGAGACCGTGCATATCTAGGCAGGAGTATATGAGAACTCTGTATCTTCCTCTCAATTTTGCCATCAATCTAAAACTGCTCCATAAAGTAATCTTTTCAAAAAATGTAAATCAAATCTGAAAAAAAATTAATGACTGTTTTAAAACTTTTACTAGTGAATATTTTTAAATACACTCAATGTGACCTGATGCCACATATTTAATTCTTTACTTGTATATTTTTTATTTGCAGTCAAGTGAGAGTCTTAAACCTCATGACCAGTCAAAACAAAAGCTATCAAGGCTTAATTCACCTGCCCAAACCAGAAAAACAAAACCCCCTCATGTACAAGCTGCATTAAAACAAGCCCAAGCCCAGACATTAAAGCAGCCATCAAACCAGGTTTCACTTACTGGGATTCGACCAAGAGCATCTCCATCTGTTTTATCAAACTCATGTCTGGCATCTGCATTTAAAAAATCTCTGACTTCCCAGTCTACATCCAAGTGCTCATTACCTTTTCAAGATACACTAAAGACGTCCACCTCTACCAAAAAGCATTTTCTAGCTAACAACACTGCACTAAAGCAGCCTCAATCAAAATCAACTTCAGAAAAACAAAATTTAATCCACAAGTCTGCACCCAAACTGACCTTAGGAGACAAGTCTAAGTCCAAACAGTCATCTCTCACCGAGACTGGTATAAAAAGAAAGGAAATTGATAAGCCTAAACCAAAACAGTCAAAAGTTACCAAGTCTACACCCAAACAGACATCGTCTTCACCCAATACAGGGAAAAGGTCTTCAGTTGCCAATGCTACACAGAAATCAACTATAAAGACAACAAAACGAAAGACTCCCACTGCCAAACCTGTACTTAGACAGACGTCAGCTTCCCAAGGTGCAGCACGGAGCCATCACGTGCCTAAGTCTAACAGAGCAAACTCTAAAGTTCCTGAGAGTAACACAAGGCGAGTTGCTTCTAAGCGGTCTCCACCAAACAACTTAACAGGCTCCAGGTCTACTACAAGAATTACTAAGTCCACAGACAAAAAGTCTCAAAGATGCAATTATGATGGAAACCAGAATCTACCTTCCAAAAACAAACAAAGGAAGATGAGACCTTTGTGCTCTGTTAACCGGTCTTCAGGGTATCCAGCATTACCACTTACAGGTAAGCATCGTGTGCGAAAACCTCATCCACCACCATCTCGTCCAATAAAATCTCAGTCCTCTCGACTTCGACCTCAGACATCTAAACCTCATAAGCCTTGTCCACATCAACCAAAAAAGCCGCCATCAGAGATTTCCATAGAAGCAACTACTGCATCACACACAGCACCGGCTACTGCTTTTGCAAACATCGCCAAGACAGCCACTAGAGGAGCTGATGTTACTACTAGCACGGCTCCAATTACACCTACTGCAAAAGCCCTTACCACTCTCCCACCTACCAGCACTAACCCCACGTCTCAAGTCACCACCCTGTCTGCTGCTCCCCCCAGCACAGGGCAACAGACAACCACCCTTGAAGGTGATGTAACGATGGCTGTAACTGATACTACCGCTGCTGCCATTGATGAAACCATTTCTGTCATTGAAACCGCTACTGTTAAAACTGGCACAACTATTCAAGAAACTGCAGTAACTGTGACTGGCCCCACAGTCACTATAGTGAGCACCAAGAGTGAATCTCACACTGTGACCAACCCTGCCACCTCTACAGAGGTCCTTAAAACCACAACAGCTGCTCCAGGAGCGGACACTGCTACCTAGGCACTACTCTGCCTGTTACCATTCTCCTTTCTGCCCTCCCCAATGCCATCACCACCACCAGTACAACTTTGCCTGAAAAGGATGTCACCACTCCTGAAGAGTATTTTTATTACATTGAAGATGAGATTGAAGCCTCTGACTATGCATATGGCTCAGAGTCTGCTCAAGATTCCACTGCAGTTCCAGAAACTAATGCCACGGGCCCTGTAACTCCTTCAACTCCAGGGGCCACCCCCTCCTGAACCTATAATTGATAACACTACTCAGAAATTTGAGGTAATAGCTACCACACATAGCCCTTGAATATTGATCAGACACCCCAACCAATAATCAAAATTATGTGATAAAATACTGCAAATCTTAGCCATGAAAATATAGCAATTCTTTAAGCATACTGTATTGTTGTTTTTAGTCTTCCTTCTTTATCTTTCACCAACACAACAGGTCACATATTTGAAGCACCATAAGAAAAATTGTCACTGTGTTTTATTATGACAAAATTCACTTGAAATAGAAATGGAATTTGTCCTTCTCACTTCACTCTAAAAAGTCCTTAATGTCCTAAGAGTAAGATTCCTGAAATCCTCTTAATTCCTTAAGTATTGAAGGGTAATTAAAAGGATAAAAGAATACTTTTTTTAGTGTATTTTATTCTTATGAGAGGAAATAAACACTGGAAGGTGTTTACCTATGGAATAATAAGAATATCTTATATAAGATTTCTGGAAAATTGTGAAAACTAGAAGCAGAGATATTCACAGTATCTGGGAACTGAACATGCCTTCTTCCCTTGAATGAATATTTGGCCCTGGTAAATGTCAGGCCTGGCGTGCTGCAGTCCATGGGGTCACAAAAACTCAGACACGACTTAGCAACTGAACAGCAATGTCAGGAGGGTTCCAGAGGCCTGTAAACATGTTTTATGTGAAAAAGACAATTTAAATTATTCCTGAGTTATGAATCACTGGAAGAGCAAAAATGTGCTTCCTAAATCCAGCAAGTCCCTGTCTTGTGTGGACAACGTCACTGGTATCTTTGGGACTGACTCCCTCCCCATCACTGTAACCTATGCAACAGACTGGGACTCAAGGGGAAATACATGAGAAATCCTGCCCCTGTTCCCTCTCTCCGTGACCATCACACTTCCTTAAAACCTCTGAGAAAAAAAACATGAGTCTGATTTAACTTTATAGGCCCTGTATGTCTGCGTGTGTGTATGTGCCAGCAAGTATAAGAGAAAGAAAGAGACTAACTTGTCAATCTAATACTTTCTAGTCAATAACTCACCTGTAAGGCCACACTCATATTTATTAATTCCATTTCACTTCACAAATTCTTTCTTTCCTCCTACAATATGGAGTCAATAGCATAGATATAACAAGAGTGAAGAATCAAAAAAGAAAAATAACAAAGATTATTTGTTCGATATGAGAAAATACAAAAAGACCCAATGATTGTGGTCAAAGAGAGTTCACAGTAAAGAGGGGGAAATGCCCACATATGTCACTGGTGATAGCACAGTCTAAAATAGAAGAGGAGATTCCTTATAAACAGAGAGACCAGAGTAGTGATCATGGGAGGAAAAGAAAAAGTGTTCATTTAAAAAGTGTCATTTGAACTGGACTTTTTAGATAACTTTCTCAAATTTTCAGACTTGAACAGCACTTTAAATAAATTAGCTTGCCAGTGTGTAAAACACATTTTAAATGGGAGAAATATAAAAATCCAGATTGTTTTTCAAAATATGAAAGGTCTGGTGGCTTGGGTACGCAGTCTGGAGTGATACCTGTCATCGACAGGAGTGCTACTTGAAGTGTAGCTTCCCAGATGGCACAGGGGTAAAGAATTCGCCTGCCAATGCACAAGACACGAGTTTGATCCCTGGCTCAGGAAGACCCCTGGAGAAGGAAATGGCAACCCACTCCAGTATTCTTGCCTGGGAAATCCCACGGACAGAGCAGCCTGGTAGGCTACAGTCCTTGGGGTTGAAAAGGAGTCATACATGTCTTAGTGACCAAGCAACAACAACTTGAAGTGTGGTCAGCAAGCTAGCTGCTGTGGATACAGTTCAAGTCAGAGTGAAAGGCATACATCAATGTCAATATGCACACTTTCAGCTTCCTTTATGTTTACTGATTTATCCTTTTTTCATCCATTCATCTAGTAGCAAAACTTTCTTTATAACAAAAGCACTGTATTCTGGTGTACCCTCTTCATCTAATCCCCACCAGTATTTGAGTGGTGAACTGTGGTAAGGAACAGCTGCTGTTTGTTCTCATAAATGAAGCATGCTCGCCTCATTCTGCCAGCCTCCACCAGGCCGACTTCACATACCCACTGTTATCTAGGTTCTCTAGCCATTTAAACTTGTAATCCTCACTATTTGCAATGAAATTATTTAAGGTTTTTGAAAAGGAGAGTGAAATTCCTTTAGCTATAGTTTAGAATTAGGGTGAGAGCTAGTGAAAGCCTAATTGTGAAACTGAGGGAACAATTTTGAGAGATATTAAGGAATCAATACCAGTAAGACTTGGTCATTTATACAGGGTGGAGCAGTGATGAAGAAGTAACTTGCTATTTTCTGGCTTGGATAACTGATGGATAACTTTAATCCTGATAAAGCAGGATTAAAAGTCAGTGTGCAGGAAAGAAGAATGTACTTTGAGATAATTTACAAACCTAGACAATGTATTAAAAAGCAGAGACATCACTTTGCTGACAATGGTCAACACAGTCAAAGCTATGGTTTTTCCAGTAGCCACGAATGAATTCCCTGATAGCTCAGTTGGTAAAGAGTCCACCTGCAATGCAGGAGACCCCAGATCAATTCCTGAATCAGGAAGATTCTCTGGAGAGGGGATAAGCTACCCACTCCAGTATTCTTGGGCTTTCCTTATGGCTCAACTGGTAAAGAATCCACCTGCAATGCAGGAGACCTGGGCTCTATCCCTGAGTTGGGAAGATCCCCTGGAGAAGGGAAAAGCTACCCACTCCAGTATTCTGGCCTAGAGAATTCCATGGACTGTATAGTCCATGGGTTCGCAAAGAATTGGACATGACTGAGTGACTTTCATGCACACACACCTAAATGGATGTGAGAGTTGGACCATAAAGAAGGTTGAGAGCTGAGGAACTAATGCTTTCGAATTGTAGTGCTGGAGAAGACTCTTGAGAGTCTCTTGGACTGCAAGGAGATCAAACTAGTCAATCCTAAAGGAAATGAACTCTGAATATTCATTCAAACAACTGGTGCTAAAGCTGAGGCTCCCAATACGCTGGCCACCTGATGCAAAGAACTGACTCATTAGAAAGACACTGATGCTGGGAGGAGGAGACAGAGGTGGAAGATGATGAGATTGTTAGATATCATCACTGACTCAATGGCCATGAATTTCAAGCAATTACTGGAGATAGTGGAGGACAGGGGAGCCTGACGTGCTGCAGTCCTTGGGGTTGCAAAGACTTGGACACAACTTACCAACTGAACAACAGCAACAATACACATCCCCCCCACCCCCGCCCCGGCTCTTTGAGACAAATCATACACTTTTGGGTCCTAAAACCTAAGAGCATGTTATAATTTCAAGTGCCCATTGCATGTTCACTAAAATAGATCATAGATTAGGCCACAAATACAACCTCAAATGTTAAAAATATGGAGATTCTACAACTGGGAATCTCTCTTGCTAGACTGCAACAAACAAAATTAACTATAAAATCTAACAATAAATGACCAATTACTATTTCAAAAGAAAACTATAAATAAACAATATTAATAAGGATTTTAAAATAAAAATCAGACTATTTTGCAAGCTAATGGAGTGAAAGCAAAGTTAAATTAAGAGGTAAAATGCTGTGTTAGTATCATGTTAAGATTATAGCAGATTTATCAAAAAGTTATACAACCCAGAAATTAACAAAAGAATTCCAAATAAGGTAGAAGGAATATAAAAAGACTAAGATCTTTTTTCCAGCTTTATTGAAGTATAATTGAGAAAACTGTGCATATTTAAAGTGCTCATTGTGACAGTTTGAAACACATTGCAACATGATTACATCAAGTCAATTAATACATCCAACATCTGTTACTTTTTCTTTTTGGTGAGAACACTCAAGATTTACTCTTTCAGAGAATTTCTAGTACTCAGTAAAGTATAATTAGCCCTAGTAGTATACTGTACTTTAGATCCTCAGAACATATTCATCTTATAACTTAAACTTTATGTATTTTGACCATTATCTCACCATTTCTCCCCACCCCTAGCATCTGCCAATCACCATTCTACTCACTATTTCTATGAGTTTGAATTATTCTTTTTTTAGATTTAATATATAAATGACACCATATAGTATTTGTCTTTGTCTGGCTTACTTCACTTGGCAACTAATATTTGACAAAGTTGCCAAGAAAACACAACAAGGAAAAAAAATAGTCTCTTCAATGAATGGTGTTTGGAAAACTGGATATACATATGAAAAAGAATGACTAACATCTTGTTTGACAATATTCACAAAAATTAATTTGAAATAGATTTAAAAGACTAAAATCTTAGTTTGAAAATGACTGCTCTTTTTCCCTGTTACCATAAAGAAAAGGGAAAACCCTATAAGTATATAATTAAGAAAAATGGACTTTTGCAGTACTGTCAAATTGTTTTCTGAAACAATGTATTACTTTTCTTGAAAGTGAAAGTGAAAGTGAAGTCGCTCAGTCCTGTCCGACTCTTTGTGACCCCGTGGACTGTAGCCCACCAGGCTCCTCCATCCATGGGATTCTGCAGGCAAGAATACTGGAGTGGGTTTCCATTTCCTTCTCCAGGGGATCTTCCCAACCCAGGGATCAAACCCAGGTCTCCTGCATTGCAGGCAGACGCTTTAACCTCTTAGCCACCAGGGTTCACACAGGTAAAATACATATAAACAGTTATTCTTAGGGAAATGGATGAAAGCACCATTACTAATTAATAGCAATATACCTTGAAAAATTCTTTATAGTTGTA